TTTCTTCGGAGATCGGCTCAACCCGTAAGGAAATAGATTACCACTTTTTCTAAGTGTAATCTACTATTGTGGTCGATCCATTATTTATGAGACCCGAGAAAGGACTTTTCATTTGCAGAAAAATCATAATTGAGGAATTACATCGTGACAAGAAGATGCTACCTTCTTTTTATGGCGTTCTACTAAAGCAATAGTGTCATTTTGTTCCCAAGGGAACCAGGAACAGCCCATCTTTGAGCTGACCCTACATCCAGGGATTTCTATTCCAGATTTTATGTAGGTCTTTTCACTAGCTTGAGCCGGGCTGAACCATTCATCCTTCATCCACCGATCACAAAATCGGCTTAGCCGAGACCAAATCCACTTGGAATAGTATAAACGCGTAATGGCACTATGGCAGGCACCAAGATCACTCGTTTTGTACCGGTAAGCCACATGCCAAAGAAGAACTTTGGGCTTGGCCCTAGAGAGCAAAGCCAAAGCAATCAATCATCTTAACTTAAACGAACGGAATTTTCGCTTCTATAAACAGTCCATTCAAGGTATAAAGGGAATAGCGTTCAAGGAAACCTATCGTAAGACTCTGTCCGAAAGAACCCGTTCTACCTTTTCCAAAGATTAGAAGGTACTTGTCCTTGTCAGAGACTAGTACCTTCTGTAGTGGTGGAACAGAAAGAGGAAGCCGCTTACGAGCAGCTTTCTCTCATACGTCATTCTATTCGAGAGCCGGGGGGCGCAGTAGATGAGGTCTAACTGCCCGTAACTAAGGAGATAGATCCCTTTATCCGTTCCGTCAAAGAGATCACCTAATGCAAGCCGTGCAATACAGAGTGATAAGCGCGCAGTATAGCATTGAGGAGGATATATCAATATGCCACCATCTCTCTCAATATGCACTCATGAATGCTCGGTATAGGAAGCACCTCTCTTTGTCTTTGGCTTTCCAGACAGACGCGTTAAGTTAAGCAAGTCAGTCAGTTCAATGGGGTTGATTGGGAGCTCGGTAGCTAAGGAAGTGGGTCAAACCAGGCTGGAGAAAGCGAACGTTACGATCCTGTTGACCTTTCCTAAATTTATTATTCCGGTGGATGCAGATGGTGTTTGAATTTGAAAGGAGAACAAAGCCGTAATTTCTTAAGAAAAGAAAGATCGTAGCGTGTATACTATAGCTATTGATTCAACCTCCTCCTCATATAAAGTCAGAAGACTGAGTCTCTGAGTAAGTCAAGAGTCCTTCCATACCGAGTAAGAAGGTCAGATCGCTCAGTCGCAGTGGAGTTGTTTGGAGTTTCCTTGGTGGACAATAGAGAGCAAAATAAGACTTGTGAGGTCAGTGAACTAGGTGGAAAGTGCCGGTGGG